GAGTATCTATTGACCCACAAAATGTGAAATAAACCCATCCAGTCCTTTGTTTGTGGTCTGCATAAGTCTTACAACACAACAAAAATGCTCCGTTTCAAATTTGCTCTCCTTGTGACATCACAGTGGGATTCTGGTAAAGAAAAATCCCCTCGCCTGATATCTCCACCCATGGACTCCATGCCTAGAACAAAGCCATTTTTATTCTCGCTAGCGAAGGAGTGATGTCTACTGGGAAAACTCAGGGGGGAGCTCATTACATTTAAAGAGACACACACACCAAAACAAAGCTTTCTGAGAGTGCCGGTTTATATGGGGTCACAAACCTCCTCTGGTGCTTGATTCATGTTATATTTTGAACAGAGGACAGCACAGATGTTTCATTTAGACCACAGGGGACTGTTTGAAAAGGTGAAAAAGGGGTATAATATGTCCTCTTTAATATAAACGCTATGTGTAGTTCCACAGATTAACGGTAACAACAGAAGAGTGGAGAACAATACAGGCAAACAGAAAACACATTGAAGCAGTTTCATTACATGCACAGAGATCACACTGGTTGTGCACTTAAGAGTCTGTGGTCGCAAGTCGGTCACATTTAACTGCATCATCCCCTAACAGACGCCTGCGGTAAAAATTTCCATTATATTACCTGATGCCTTCTCACATAACTCCAAGCATGAAAGCTTTCCAAAGAGCCTTTATGCAGCAACACATGTGGCTCACCCAAATATTCAGGAACTTGTCAGTTTGGTGCGTATGTGAATAAGGCTAAACTTTCATTGTTCTTCTTAACAGGGATTTTAGAGGGGGAAAAAAACTTGATTGTGTCAATTCTTAATATAAGGCGTGATTTAAATGAGAAACGCATTAATAAATCATGATTCAGTATACGATGGGTTTTACTCTATATGGTTATCATTTGAAGTTTCTTTTAATTCAGGATTGATTGACACGATAGCTCGACTGTCATTTAGTTTCCAGTGATGTGTCTCCAATCTTTACAGCTAGCGCATACATTTGTAAGTTACTTCAGATCATCTTTTACCATGGACCTGTTGGTCTTCAAATTTAAGTGTGGTCAGACGCTTTGTAAGTGTTTTGTTTTCTTAACGGAGCAGAGGCCAATGACCGATTGAATCCAGTTCCACACTACTGGACCTCCAGCAGCAGAGTGCAGTTTCCAATATGACTTATCATTTCATAATCCGGCGACAGTAATCTCGCATTTAAATTGGTTTATTCTGATTTGTGACTTTTCTTTCCATCCTGAAAATATTATAAAACCAGAAAAACACAAGTGTTTGTTTGAAGGCAGAAATGTAGATAAGAGATCATTTACTTCAGGTATTATTTGGCTATGTTAAGTGAAAACATCTTTTTATTACCCTCTGGAACAACCCAAACATGTACCGCCCTTAAGCTAGAGGTCACAGAGTTGTAAATATACAGAAATGAATATATATAAATACATAAAACTGTCAACAGTTGACTGTTGTGAATGCTTATAAGGAAGTCACATGAAGTTACTCTGTATGATAACATGGTGCTTTGAATGACTGTTTCTCAGAGGATGTGAAATATATGTGAAATAAGGACAGGAGAGTCTGGCCTTAGAAGTGGAAACATTGACGACTTGTACATAGACTACAATGGAATGTAAATCTATACCGTAGTTTCATTCCACTTTGCTGTAAAGTCAACCTATTGCACAAGCAGTAGTATGTTTTCATGATCTAACGTCTCACTATAACCTGTTTCTATTTGATTGATTTTTTTTTACAGTAGCATGCCCTAATTCTCTCTGATTAAAGACTGAAGACTATATTAGGGTGAGCGAGTATTGTATATATATATACCATTAAAGGTTTTAAAGTTTACTTGACACATTAAACTAATAAGCAAACACCTCGTCTGTTAGTCTAGCCGTGCAATTGCCAAAAGTTGTGCATGATCTATGATACTGTTCATTTTGTTGATTATCTACAATTTGTCTTGTTTTGAATCATATTTCTTACTGTGAACAAATTGCCATTTTAAAATTGTTCAAAATAAATGTATTTTTATATGGAATTTGTTTTGCATGTTCCTTTCACACAGTGTGTGTTTACAGCCTGGAAAGAATAAGATCATTTCATATGAATAACAGTAATAATACATTATTTTCAAAGCAAAACAAAGTGAAGACGGACTTATTATGCTGTCTTTGTATGAGAAGTGTCCGAGTTGTCATGACATAAACCTGAGAACAAAAGGGTTCACGGAGCTTTGTTCTCGTACCATATCCACCGTCTGATCTTACACACAGAGGTGCCTTGTAGCAGCCGCTGTATCAGTCTCAGCAGAGCCACTTAATGATTCCACAGAGGCTCTGAAGATGGCTTTAATGGGCACAAGTGTGATAACACCCATGTGAAGATTCCCATCTGACACTCACACTGAGCTCATTTCACTCTATCACTTGATCACTCAAGTTGCCAGATATGGATTTAATTGGAACAATTACTGAGGCTGTTGTCAAGTGATGAGTGGAACAGATGCTTTTGTTAATAAGAAGTACAGGTGTCAGGGCAGCTTTGTTTCTCTCTTTACATCTGAAATAAACTAGAAAAAATATTTTCGCCCCACAGCTGTCTGCCTCTGCTTATAGTCAAGTTACAGTTCACATCCATGTCCATTAAGCACATATATTTAAAGCCTCTGTGAGGAGTCAGACTGAAATGATTGATAACGCCTCTTAATAGCCTACAAAAGCAAACAAGACCTAGCAATAAGAGGGAATATTTCTTAAATCTTATATTAAATGCCTGTAACCACTGACACATGGTAGATGTCGGCATAGTGCATCACAGCACACTAAAGAAACAGCCTGTTTTAAACATTTTCCAAAGCAAAGATTCATAATTATGAGTGATACTTTTGACTGTTCAAACAGCAGGATGAGATGTTTGTTGTCGTAAAAAAAAACTTTTTAATCATGAACAGGACAAAATCAGCAAATAGGTTATATGACTGCTTTGTCCAAATGGGTCGCCGAGATCAACAGAAACTTAAAGTTCCTCCTAAATTTCTGTTGAGAAACATGCCGGCTTCACTTTTGAAATATAATATTTGTCTGATGAGTAAATCGGACTGATAGCGACAGTTATTCTAATGAACGGGGAAGGAGCTATGTGAACATTAACTTCACCTACAAGTTCTAATCAAATGAATCCGATGCTTAACCGAATCTTAAATCTCCACAGTAAAGGACTTAACGTGTGTTCCCACTGTGTGTGAGTGCTCAGAGCTGTCCCACTGTCAAATCAAATGGGCTCTGGTGAAGACTTTACAACGCTGAATTACACACTTTGCGTGAGTACACATTTCTGCAGACTTTACTATGGGACTTACCCAGAATTCATTGTGAATATGGTGATTTTTCCAGCCCCTCCTTAATTCAAACCAATATCTGTATTCAGGAGCATTATTCAATAAAGTTTAAAATGTTTGCAAAGGATTTATATTCATGGTTACACTGACTTTTGCCATTTTTCTTAAGCATATAAACACTGTAATGTAAGAATATAAATACATACTAGAGGTCTGACGATCGGGACCCGTTTCTCTTCTTTAAACCGTCTCAAGCCCTCATGGACTCGAACACTGCCTGCCTGAGGTCAGTAGAGTCTATGAGGGTCCAGTGCTCCGGCTTTCGGGCAGAGTTTGAGATCGTTATGAGACAATCCATCAAGACTTTCCAGAGTGTTCACAATAACAGGACAGTACAGATAGCATCAAACCATATTAAACACCCCCGATCTTGTTTTGTCCCAATGTCTATTTCTAGTTCCTTAATTCTTGAGTAATAGCCAAAAAATGTGTTTTGAGGGATCACTGCACCTTTATGTTTAATCTCTGTCCAACAAACCCCAACCAGTGATCTTGAGTGATTTTTACGTTTTTGCTAATCAATCAGAAGATTCAGATTTCACCATTGAGAATTGGACAGACAGAAAGACAACCTAACAAAAATGAGCCTTGTCCATGGTCCACACCTGCTGACAGGCATAAAAGCTTTTCAGATTAATATGACAGACAGCAAGGTCGGATGACAGGAATATACAGCACAGTTGAGTGGCTGAAACAAGTCCTCAAACACAAATCTGCAGCAACAATGCCCTTGTTCTTCTGTTTTGCATTTTGTTTGCCACTTCAACGGCTTCATATCACACACCAATCTTCATCACTCCAGCAGCCATCAACGCCCCGAGAGTCTTATTCTCGCTGCTGCTCTCAGTCTGAATTAACACCAAGGCCTTTCTCTAACTGCCCTGGGATGCTCGCCGGCGCACAATCAAATTGAACGGTGACAATCACTAATGGATGATTCGCTGCAGCCAGGCACCGTAATGTAGCACTCAATGAAAGGAAACATGCTCATCAATTTCACACTGTGGCTAACACAATATTGCTGTGGGTTATTGTGGTGGGACATTTTTCATTCAAGGTGCTGCCCAGACTGGGAAAATCTTCCTCCATTGTGTGTGTGTGTGTGTGTGTGTGTGTGTGTGTGTGTGTGTGTGTGTCAGTGTTGATTTCCTGGAGAGGGGGGTAATTAATTTGTTGCACAGTGGGAGAGTCAAGGAACCAGCCCATTAGAATCACTCCAGGCTACTTCTCATTGTCCTGCTGCTGGGCCCCCATTGTATAATGCAAATAGCTGCACTGAAACTTTTAGCATGCTAAGCAACACTTGTCAGAGACGAGGCAGTAAAAGAAACTAATTCAACAAAGTGAGAATACCTGTCGATCAAAACTACCAATTTGTATCAGAATTGTATTCAGCTCAGGGGGATTCAAAGTTCTTCCCTTTCAAAAAAATATGTTGATTGACTAAAGAAAAAAAAAAAATTAGAGCTGTATTCCAAAATAAAAATGTTTTTACAAATCCATAGATGGCAAAAAAACAAAACAAGCTGTTTATGATTTGTAAATGAGTTTAAGGCCACGCCACGCTGTGTTTCTGCTTTATTCTGCAACCATGGTTACTTCTGCAAGATCAAATGAAAGACACAGAAACAAACCCACTGAATAATCACGTCACTTGTAATGGATGAGTTTTCTAGCTTCTGAGAAACCCCCGCCCCGAAAACATACTGCAGCTCACATTTCTAACAAGTCTTTTTTTTTTTTCCCTACTGAAGACATATTTCAAGTATCGTAAAAGAGGAAAAAAATACATCATGCAAATATGTTCACAATCATATTCACAGGTTGATTACTGGGACTTAACAGAAACTTTGTTAAATATATAACAAGCACAAAAGAAAGCTTCTCTGATGCTCGGTGCAGAGAGAGAGAGAGAGAGAGAGAGAGAGAGAGAGAGAGAGAGAGACAGTGTTCACCTGATGACGAGAGCGAGTTTATTTATGCTTCAGGCTCGATCGCAGGACTGGAAGGGAAGAAGTATGGAGAGGCCTCTAGTCAATTTGTCTTTCTGACATATGATGCTGACAACACTTAAAAAGAAAAGTTTGATGAAGAAGAACTTCAGTACTTATCCCAAAGAGACAGCGGCTGACCAAAGCTCCGTGCGTAGGCTGAGCCTTGTTGACAGCAGATACGTCTTCTCTATCTCCGTGTCCCTCGCAGCTGAGGAGATGAACAAATCCGCAGCCTTTTTGTCCGCCGAGTCCTTGGGGGCAAACCTAGAACAGACTGCAGGATCCTCTGCATCCCTGAAAACTCAGGGAATGCCGTGTGGAGATGCTGGTGTCGTCACGGCAGATGAACAAGTCCAGAATGAATAAACAAATGAATTCAAGGCTGCACGTTGAACCTTAAAAAAAGAGGAATCCATCGAGACTAGTGTTGTAGTGCACAACCTTTGTAATGATCAGTCCGATGAAAAACAACAAAAACATAAACATATTTAATGCCTATAGGAGCACAACTCTTTTAAATGAATCATGGTAAATAAAGACAAAATTAATCTTGTCCTTAAAAGTATTGGATTCAAAATTCAGATTTGGCACTTTTTACTGCATCACAGCTAAAGTTTGCAACTCTGGAATTATTTAGAAAATGTCAATATAGCTCTCTTTTCTTTTTTTTTAAACCAGAGTGTTCAAAAAATGCTCCCAGCAACAATCAAATATGATGCACACGTTTAGAAGTCATTGCATCGTTTAACAGTCAGATTGACGGTGGTGTAAAAAGTCAAATATGAGATCACTGCTGCAATAAAAATCCATACAAAGGATTTAGCACATAGCAAAAATGTGTGTATCATGTGTTTAATGTTTTTTTTTAACATCTACTATATGAAGTTCATTCCAAAGTCACAAAACAGACTCATAAGTCTCCCAAAAAAGAGGGAAGTCTGTTTGTACCTTTCTAGGACATACACTCATTTTCCGTTCTTATTATTGTTGTGACATATGTAGGTTTCTGAGCGGCAGGCGTGATGGAGCACACCGATCTGGGACCAGGAGCCCTCCCTCATCTCGTGGATATTGCAAGCTTTCATTTGATGAGAATGTGGTGATAAGATTTACTGATTGTGCAGAGCTTAATGAATCTGCTTCCCCTCACTGTCTTGCTCAGATAAGCTGCTTCCACAGAGTTAAACAAAGTAAACTTCACAAACACAGGCCCAAAGAAACAGAAACAGGAGCACATTTGGAGATAATATCGTACATTACTTCTGTCCCTGCTGCTTGATATTTTCATATTGGAGCAGATGCAGCTGTAACCAGCCGAGACAAATAACTTTTAACGTCTTCCATTATGGATGTACATTATTTACATAAAAAGATCAATGTCCTTGCAAAAATACAAGTATTTTCAGTCAAAAAGTGTCCCTTTTCAAGAAGCGAGTATAAATCTGTACAGTCTCCTCGGAGGGATTAGGCAGCACAGTGTGAACTGGTCCATCCATGCATGGGTAGCAAAACACTCGAGACCGTTCATTGTGACCGTGGTTTCATAGCTTGCTGGAAGTAACTGCCAAAGAAGATGTATTGCTTTCGAGTCGGTCATAGACTCCCAACATTAAAACACATGGGGCGCTTCATCAGAGAGCTTGATGTCTGTGTGAGATGGCAGGTAGCCTGGCAAGGGAAAAGAAAGAAAACAGACAGAGGGGGAATTTTATGTCGCTATTTGCATACGGGTGTATTTTCACAAGCAAACAACATTTATCTCAGACGGGTCGATTGTTTAGCTGCGGCTGGAGGTAAATCAGCCGGAACCACGTAAATATTTCTTGATGAAAATGCTTTCACCCCTCCGCTACTTTCCTGATGCACTAATTATTTTATTGGGTCAAATAATTCACCTCGACATTCTCATCACTTTACCCCGACACATGATTGTGCTTTCACTTACCTGTGAATACTAATACCCTTACTGTGTCAAAACCCAGGATGGCAAACGCATAAATACACAGCACATAACAATAACTGTGTCTTGGCAACTCGTGATAATACAGAGAGGAAGAACAGCAGCACTTAACACACAGTGAATATGTTGTATCTCTTCACTGTCAGACAGCTGTCACTTGTTCCTGTCTGCAAACACAGGTTTAAATACACTGTCAGAACTTACTCTGCTCTACTAAATGGTCACTTCACACAATTACACACACAATGGAAACACAAGCTCAATGACTGTTTGTGATGCCTTAATGGTGTTAGTTTTGGTTGAATGCTTGTGGGAATTCTGTTAAAACTCAAACACAAAATAGGAGATAAGTTAATGTTGTTTGCAGAGCTCAAAGCGTTACAGAAGTGGATCTAAAAAAAATCTACAGTGTACAATGCTCTGGTCTGAGGTACTGTCACATTAGCCTTCTGTTCAGTCACACTGCCACCCCCCCACCCTCTCTAAAAGGATGTGTTGGCACAGACTTGTTGGGTAATGAACCTTTTCAGAGCAATCAGCAAACTGTAAGTGCTTTATGAGAGGCATGCTGCAGTTTGTAGTCCTTTACAACCTAAATAAGTAAAAGGCCGTTCTAGTGGATTTTATTTACACATCATCAAACATCCAGCCAAGACTCTGCTGTATATTTATTTATCACATGTCAAGATAATCGCATGAGTAACACATGTTTCCGTGCAAACTTCGACACACAAGTTCTACTACATGTAGAAAATGAAATGGAAAATAAATTCTTAAAGGCTTAAAGTAGATTCGGGTTTAAAGGGCTTCTTTTCCTCATCTCTCCGGCTTTCTCAAACTTTTTGGCTAACCTAAATGTTTTATATGAGAAAAGCCAGCCCATTCTGCTGTACTAATTAACAAGAAAAATGACTGCATTTCCACAGTGCATCCTCGTTTCTGCAAATTAGAAAAGAAAAGTTCAGCAAAAGTAAACTCTACCCCAAGAGTCTGCTGTAGCTGGCAACGGGAGAGGAAACTCATCTTTGAATTCATCATCTGTCCAGAAAAGAGCTTCAAGTGAAATGATGGAGGTTTAATCTGAGCGCACTACAACAGCCGGACTGCTCTCATTAAAGGCTTAAATGCTGAAAAATCAAATATCTATCACTGATTACAGACCTGTTTATATTCTTGTTGTCAGATTATCCCAAATGCTACCAAAATTGTGAAAACCAACAGAAATCTGTTACTTTTTAAAGTTGTGTAAAGCTATTAAAAAGATGTAGTTTATAAGTTTGCTATACAACAGAATACTGTGTTGTTAGCCACCAGGCCACATTTCAATTCAATTCAATTCAATTCAATTCAAAAACTTTATTTGTCCCGGGGGCAATTCAAAGGCACACAGAGCAGTAAATTAACAACAGTGCAAGTAAACAAAACATTTTAACCTAAATAGAAAGTGTCAATTTAAATACAACTTAAAGCTTAAACTTAACTTAAAAATACAAAATATAAAAAGAGTAGATATAAGTGGACAGTGATCGGACTAACAGATGTAAACAGATGTAACCAGAACTATGTGCAGTAGTGACCAGATGTAAACAGAACTATGTGCAGTAGTGACCAGATGTAAACAGAACTATGTGCGGTAATGAGAATTTCAGTAATGTAATATATCCCAAATATACAATTAAGTTCCAGAAACCATGAACAATGAAGCAGTCATCTTGCGTTAGGATGCTGTGAGCGTGTCCTTGAATGCGTCCCACTTGAACGGCACCATGGAAACATTAGAGCCATTTCCTGGTAGCTTATGTACATCCAGTCATTATCAATGCCAAGGCTGGTTGTTGACGTCTCAAAACGATTATTCATTATTTAAAAACATATATATTTTATGCGGGGGAATTATAGCCAGAGAGAGAGAGGACTGCCCTTGACTTAAGCAACCTACATAAAGGAAGGAAAGGACTGGTAGCAGAGAAAAGACTGGCAGTCAATCTACAGACTGCTGAGTCAGTGACCCTCTCTAAATGTTAACGTAGAATTGTATGGTTTTACTGTTGCTTCTAACAGAGGATGCTAACATAGTGTATGTACTGTATAATAAGGGATAAAGACGGTTGCTGTGCTGTCTGTTGCTGAATTCGGGCTGCAGGTGTGTAAGTTTGTCAGTCAGTTCATGTGCAGCTGTTGAATTCTATTCATGTGTGATCTCAGAAAAGGATTAGAGAGTTTGTTCTGATGTTGAAAATGATGTAAGTATCAATAAGAGGAGTCATGAATGTAGACTCTTTTAATCAGTGGTGTGCAGTAAAGTGGTAGACATGCTACCTAGATTTCACAACATGTCTTCCAAGATCTGTAACATCAGTTGTGTTACAAACACATCACTAGTTGTGGCTTTCATAACCTTCCCTGCCTACCCTGTTACTGACCTCATGATTCGTTACTGAGGCACAGTTAGCTAATCGAACTGAAGACTGTAAAACAGGAACTTGAAGTAACTTGAGAGCCGAAGATGCTGAGGTGCACGGTGCTTTACTATCCTTTTATCACTAAGGGAGCGGGGTATGTAATCGAGTCATCAAGAACCACATTTTGTCCCTGCCCAAAAAAAAAACCTGAACCTTAAAGTGATGAAAAACTTCCTGAAGGTCTAAATCATCATAATTCAGTCAAACATAGTTGTAAGTCTTTTCACATGTACAGGAACTTTTTTTTCCAACATATAAAGTGTGTTTAGAGAACAAGTTCTGATTTTGCTTTACACAGACTTTAAGGTGCGGGTCACATTACATTTTGTTCTTGGAGTCAAATCCCCTTTAGTCCCTTCTGTATCCATGACTGGAAACAAAAAGGACATCAAACAAGAACAGAAAGAACATATAAGTATATATATACAGTATATATAAATATATATGCTACTACAACACTACTAGCAGCAGAGATGACATACTTCACTTTTAGGAAAGTAGTTCTGCTAAAATCTGACAGTTTGATTTAAAATGTTCTAAATGAAATTGTTGAAATCTCAGAAATGGATGTTTAAAAAAGAAAAAACATGCCTATAAACAAAATGTTCCCTCGGATTGGCACCACAACCCCCTTCCCAAGAGACCCAAGCAATAAGCAGGTATAGTTAAGTGATTGATGTAAAAAAAAAACAGTGTTTTTATCTTCCAAGTCATTCTTCTGATATTTTGAGATGCACAAGAAGGTGTTGTGTGCTGTGCAAGCTTCTCCTTTCTGTTGCCTTTCAAACTGATACCACTGACTGTGTAATCACTCTATCAGAATACAAACTAGACGTTCATTGTCAAACCGAAGAATCTGAAAATAAACCGTGTGAATAAACACTTCTGTATGCTCGAGGAATAGCTGTGGCTTAGAGGAAGAAATGGACACATTAATACCTCTGCCTTTGGAGTCCAGCTGTACATCCACATGATCCAGAGAGGTCAGCTTGTCCCCCTCAGGATTTGGGACGGCGATGGAGGTCACAGTCGGGATGACCTCTTGTTCTTTGTCCGGCTGCTCCGCTGTGTATGTGTTGATGCCAGGAATCTTCCTGAAAGGAGCAGAAAAAAAAGATGCTTTTAAAAATGGCAAGTTAATGGAAAGCTGCCATCAGGTCTGTTCTTCACTAATGCTTTCACGATGCATAATGTGTCACACACTATTTTTAACTGTTAAAGATGGGGGAGAGATTGCTTGAAAGCTGGAAAGTAGGGCATTTTTGCGTTCCACTGGGCATTGCTCTCTCACTTTCATATTGTTCACCTCAGTTTTCAATCAATTTTTCATCCCCTTCAGATGCACCCGCAATTCTGCTTAAAACTAACATCTTGCATTTCTAATTTCAGATCCTCCCCTCGTGATTTTGTGCAGCAGCTGGCGCGGTGACATTTGATGCAGCTTTAGGAACTTAAACTTGATTTCTTAATGTAGTAATTATAATCCCAAAAGTTAGAGTTAGGCAATGTTGGGCTTCGTAATGAGTAAAATTCAGCACACTGCAGAGAAAGCGAGCTATTCCCCTGTGATTGGCATGGGATTACCTGCAGCACAGGATGCTATTTACTGTATGTCCCTCACTGTATAATATATGTTGTCTCAGGACTTATCACCTCAACCTTTCCTGCCATTCTGCAGAGTATGCCTCACCTTGGATGGCTGTGTTTAGCATTTCCGAAAGGTCAACCCTCACATTGTCAGATAGATGAATATTGATAACTGCAGGACTCTGACACCCATTCAGCTCTGTGGGAGAATTGATTAGTCTGTCATTCCCTGTAATATTCTGCAGATTGAGACAGAGGGGAATTGTCTTATTCCTCCAGCTATTATTGTGTCGCCAGTGTCCATAACTCAGAGATAAATGGAGGCTGAATTCCTGTGGAAAGTTTTAGGAGTTCAGCAGGGAGGTGCTCGCCTGCAGATAATGGGGCCGACTCTATTCAGGGCCATTGTGCAACACACACACATACACACACACACATAAAACTGCAATAACAACTAAATTGTCATGGATATTTGCAAAGATGCGAGTTTAAAAAAAGGGGAGGATTCATCCTCACACATTCATTCAAGCAGTTTTGCTGTGTCTCATATGTGCCTGTATAATATGTTGGATCTAGTATACTTGTACCTTTTGAATTTATATATAACAAAGATGACCAAGCCCATCAGTACGACCGACACCAGCATGATGACTGCAGTGCCACTGTGGCCACTATCGCTGCTGCTGTCCACAAGAGGAGCTTTGAAGGACAAAGAATGAGAGAGAAACGGAGGGAAGATTAGATTAGTACGAGGACAAAAATATACTTTTTCATTTTGTATGAATGTAAATTGTATTGCAATCCTATTAAATGACAATGGAGAATAACTGCTGTGTCGTTTTTTTTACTGCAAATATCCAGGAAAAATGACAGAGGAAGCTAAAGTCCAATCATCATTTTATGGTTTAGTTTACTTCATCTAGGATAATCCAATCATCATCATTGCGGCCCTCCAGAGAGCCCTGCGTACATATTTTAAAAACAAACAAAACACCATTGAAAGCCTGCAGACGTGTTTGTTCCTGTGCAGGCTGAATAATCATCTTCAAATTTCAAACTTAGACTCGTGTGACTACAAAAAAAAGTGTTTTTTAGGGCATGTGTCGCATGCAGCAGACTCACCTGGAGACAGCTGCGTGGCATACACGTTCACCAGCACCCCTGGCTTGAGTGTGAACCGGATGAGGTCTTGGTTCAAAGCACTTAGCAGAACCTGAGAGAGCTATGAGTAGGAGTGACAGAGCAGACGGGACTGTTAGCGGTGGCTGCACAGCAATATTCCACAGTCATCAATATTTCAGCCCAAGTCATTTCATCCCGCAGCCTGAATTATGAATCAGAATTTTTGCTTCCGTCTAAAGAGGAGCAAATGTTGATATGACACGGAAAACCAAACCTGCTGCGCCGAAAACCCAGGTGGCTTTTAAGAGTGTTGGAAACCATATCAGGTTAAAGGCCAGCCTGCCTTTCTGTGTGACATTAAAAAAATATATTTTTTTGTCTAATTTCTATCAAAACAGGGATTTTTGCACCTTTTTTTTGTTTGTTTCCATTTGTTGAACTACTTTTAAAGAAGAGAGATACACGTTCAGTGACGCAAAGCTATTGGAAATGTATCCATGTTTTAAAATCAGAAAATTGCTGTTTTCATTTCTCTCCCTTAAGTTACCCTGCTTTTCACACCTAGATGATGCAGTCATTTAACAAGAGACCAAAACGCCTTCCCAGAGCCCATTTGAGTCCTTAGCCATGCCTCACTAATTCCATCTCGCTCTTTCTAAAATCTTTCCATTGGTTAAAATTAGACTGCTCTACACAGTATGAATAATTACTTTTTGTTCTAGTGGCATATCAGGGTCAGTAAATCTATTACACATTTTAATAAGCTGCTTCACACATACACTCTGCGCATGCATGTGTGTGTGTGTGGGCACATGCTGGCCAGCTGCTCTGTAAGTCATTCACGGGAGATGAGAACAGTGAACTGAAGATTTATTACCCTATTGTCTGTGAGGTTCTGCCAGGTAATCAGACAGGCTTTAGATAAATACATCTCTTTAATTCCCAATCCAGGCCGCATGCCCCAGTTTGTCTCCTTTCTCCGTGGTGCCAATTATATGATGCATCAATGTAATTAAATACCTATTAACTTAGTTCAAGACTGACTGCAAGCCAGCGAAACCATGTTTACTTGTGATACATCGTGGTCCTATCCGTTATGATGAGTAAATGAACCTGTCTGGCCGGAGGTTTTTTTAAAAACAGATCTCTCTGTTATTGTTTTTCTAATAGCCTTCTTTAATGTTCTTATTTTGATGTAGGAGAAATAATAGCAAAGTAGCTTGAAGGTTTATGAAAGTCTGTAAACGTGTATAAGGTGGCATGGAGTGTCTGACATGTGATGAGATGCTTTGTGAATATTTCAGTTCTCTGATTGGGGCTGTTTCTGTTCCTTTTACACGTGAGGACATTGCCCTCTAGTGTTCATTTGATGCATTACTCGGCAGGAAGGATTTGATAATAAAGTGCATATGTGAGAAATCACTGCACAGTCAGACAATAAAGACACACAATGCCATTGTTTAAAGTTTGAACCTGTACAACGACTGCAATCAATGTGATTTTGCGTCGCACGCCTAAACCTTTATAATGCTGCAGAAACAGTCCTTTGATTGAATCATTCTGCAGGTTTTTCTTCCCAGCTTTGAAAACTAAATTAGATGGATGTCTTATAGAGCTCTATGAGATTATATGGCTCCTATGTGCCTGCAGGCTAATGATACAGGAGAAAACATATTCCTGTTTTCACATAATGAACCACACCAGAGTTGCATCTTTTACACCAATTACCACAAAAAATGTCCTCTCTTCATTACTACTGACCTTTTCCAAAGAGTAACATAGTGTTTCTCCTGCATACGCTGCAGCCTGCGGTGTCCATTCAAATCGACTACGGTATGAAAATACATTTGCACAGACGTTCAACTCGGTCGACTCGCGTAATCCATCACCATGAACATCATGTCCACATTTATTTTTGTCACAGTTAACCTTATTGTTGAATGGCAACAAGGCGCAGACTTTCCCAATCCAGCCACAGTTAAAACTCTTGTTACCATTCAACGATGATATCACTTTGACAGAAATAAATATACAGACATAATGCTCATTGGGACGTACTGCCTCATCAAAGAAGGTTTTGAGTCTCTACAAGTAGATTTGAATGCCGTAACTGAAATTCATGGAAAACCAACGGCTGCATGGAAAATGTACTTCACATAAAAAGTCATCATGAAAGACCTGGAAGATAATCAGAGAACTGCAAGTTGAACGATCAGTGTTTTTTGCTACTACATATATATTATGTTGTGCACAAAAAAAACAAAAAAAAAACAAAGTGCAGTTTAGATAAGACGTTATTTTGAACATCTTTTAAGAAAATATCACATTAAAAAATAAAACAATATATCTTTAGGGCCTTTGTTCGACATATCCCCTGAAACAGATGTAAGATTTAAGACAAGACACCTCTTATATCATGAATATAAAGTGTAACACAAAACTCTATACCTTCACTTGATGAGACTTATTAAGAAATTAGAGGGGAAAATGTGGGCTATGGGTAGTGACCAAAAGAATAAGATCGCGAGTACAAGCGGCCACAATGAGTGTCCACGGCTAATCTTGCATCGAAAGGAGTCAGTTGAGGTGGTTTGGGCATCTGATTAGGATGCCTCCTGGACACCTCTCTCAGGAGGTTTCCAGGGCACGTCCAACTGGGAGGAGACCCGGGGTCGACCCAGAGTTCACTGGAGGGATTTAAGTCCTGTCTGGCCTGGGAATGCCTCGGAATCCACCAAGAGGAGAAAAGGTTGCTGGGGAAAAGGAAGTCTGGGTTGACTAACTGCGACTGCTGCCACCGCGACTCGATCTCGGATAAGTGGACTAAAAATGGATGGAGGGAAAAATGAGGATATAACTGATGATGATTGCAGCATTATTCTACTGTATGGTGTAGGTCAAATTTCCAAAAGTTTGAGTTGTTTACACAAAATGTTTTTTTTGAATTTCTCCCTCAGCTTTTCATCTTGGTAAAAGAGAGCAAAATGTTGGATGAAATGTATCTGGAAAAAGAAGTTGTTATGTTCTATGCGGGTGGGTTTCTGGATGAACTCTTGGCACAGAATAATTTTTGGCTCCAAGAAAGAGTTATCATGCAAACGGCTTCGGGCAAAACCTTTAATGAAGAACGAATGGACTGCTGTATATGAAGTAAGCTGTGTGGAGAAAAGACTGCATTATGAGAATTATCTACAGTTCATCAAAAATAATGGACTATGTGCATAGAAGATACAACCTATGCATACGTCAGGCCAAAGTATGTGTTCCCTATGTGAATCCACTCATTCAGGTTGAGAATGTATCAAACAGTAAAGCTGCCAAACAAGGTTTAACTCTCTGATGAGCTACATGTTCAAACATCATAAAATATGTCCTCTTTTAATACGACAACAGAGCTTTAACAAATAACAGCGTCGCATCAAAGTAAAGGACATAGTCTCCAGAGATTTTCTCTCCAGAGACGGTCTTTTGACTTCCTCTGTTTTCCTTAGCGCTGCTTTTAATTATCACAAAAGGGGGGAAGAACACACACACACATTACACTGAACATCTGCCAGGGCCCGTTAAAATGATTTGACAGGATGGTACCTGATCCAGGTGCGCCCACTTTTCATCTATAGCTCCGCGTCTCGACCTCTTTTCAGGAACGATGAAAATCTCTGCTGTTGTTGGTAAACCTGGAAGCACGGTGACCAGGAGCTGATCCTCACTGATTCCTGTGACCTTTAACAACAAACAACAACACCTCATTAAAAAAAGGTTCTTTAATGCACTCTGTTTGAGGTGATACTCTGACAACAAAAAAAAAAAAAAAGGTCCTGGGTCGCATGTATTAATGAGTAAATACTGTTGGCTCTCTGCTTCATACTACATCAGCCTCAGCACCAGTCACTGTCAGGATGTAATGCACGGATACACTGAACCATGCGAGCGTAATTTGACAGTCTTTGGTAAAGGCCAGGGCTTTTAGTGCAGTTCTGCCGTAACCAGAGGTCTCTTGTCAGTTTCCTGGTGTAAACCATGGTAATATCTGACAAGACAGAAGGTCAAAGTGAATGTTTCATACTGAGGGCTACCGTAGGATATATATAGAGCTCAGTATCCAGGTCTTTTACATAACCTGGTGCTTGTTTTTTTTTTTTGACATCCACAACTGTGTCTTAGAGAGAGGTTCTTCACCACAGTTACTCTCCCTCCACTGGAGTCTTTAGGCGATTGGTGTTCAGCTCTTTAGAGAGCAAATGGCAGCTGTCCTTTAATGCCCTTTAGTGTTTTGACAAGTTCAGTTCAAAGCATGGACCGGTAATAATGATGTTGGGTGATGAGCCGTGTCAGCGTGTTAGAAGTTAACAGCTAATTACACAGCGAGTGAGGTCAAACACGCTGCAAGAAGTGGAGCGCAAGTCTCAACACAAAAACACATGCGTATACATTTTTTTTAAAAAGGAAGCAGATCCAAGAATGGAAATGTCATCTGCTCACTTAGACAGACACTCGATGTTTTTCTTTTCTTTTTCTCTCTCTCTAGGCAGGAGAAAAGCTACTTATTGTCAGAATGTGAATGAGGTGGAGTTCATTCCTGATTGTGTACAGTCTTTGTGACACCCACCTGAACAGCACAGCTCTTCACCACTCTGCCGATGTCCTCTCTCCACTCTGACACCCCGGGGTTCATCTCGTCCAGATAAGAAGAAAAGGCCAAAACGTGCGACCGAAAATAATCTGAAACACAGATCAGTAATCCATATAAGACCAAATATTCTTTTTCAGTCAAAGAGACTAATCAGATACTTCTCAGAACCCTTGTGAGGCCACCTGTGATGAGTTGGTTCAGGAATTTCATCAGAGAATTTGAAAGCTTGGCTTGAATGGCAGAGTGTGAACGCTGACGTAAATTGACAAAACATCTTTCTGATTCAATTTTTGTAAAAAAAAAAAAAAAAGTTTAAGTTTTTGATTTCGGTTCATTTGGAAGTTGCTGCACAGGTTATTTCAAACTCTAAAAATATCTGCACGGCTAATTTAGAAATGCCCTTTTCTATTTTGGTGATGTAAGAAGCACAAATAGATTCTTGAATATATACTTCAGTCCTTCTACGTTCATTTTGCACCCCTTTTCCCCTTGCTTTATCTTTCCCTTTGTTTAACACGTAGCATGATAAATTATATTGATCATGAGCTATAGGCAGCTAGGAAAGACATTACTATTCAGTGGAGATCTACTTTATTCCATCTCTTTCATCAACATCAAAGAGAAACCCCATCAATGTATTTTTAATGTGTTTTGATTTCTGTAAAAAGAAAGAGAGAATTTTAACATAAAGATCAGATTCTGGTTATATACGCTTTTTCCAGAGGTCATTGGTGTCTGTGTGATCCACTTTGTCACTCTGCCAGACCCTCCACATTAAAGTTCATTAGCTTTTTTGTGGATGGTTTAATGTACTTGTGGCGCTGATTCCTTAATTAGCTCAATGACCTTGTATCGAGTATGTACCAGTTCAACAGATTATACTCTCTTTTCAAGAAGAACTCGGGATCGAAGGATTCTTCCAGACCTTGGAAGACATTCTAGCAGGTTAAGAAACATGAGGCGCAGAGCATAGCTTTCTTTGTTTTAAAGCTTACAATTTGAAGAAAGAGCAGCAAGGCAACAGCTGAATTACCTATCCTTCAATAAAACGGTAGCAGCAATCCCCGAAACATGCTTATATGCCTCTAGACCTGCTGTTTTCTGGTCAAACCGTGGTGACTAAAGTTGGTGAATTCATGATAACGGCCGCCCTAGTTTGTCCTCTGTGACTGTTGTCATTTCCAATTAAGGTGTTCCTCTCAGTTAATCTGATTGGTGTATGGGGGGGGGGGGGGGTTTAGACTTTAGAGCACTCTTCCAAAACACGATTGGTCCAAGATGCTTGCAGTGTGAAAAATGCGTCCTGTCATAAGAACACAATGGAAAAGAAACTGTCTCATCAGGGCTTGACAACATTTTTTTTTAGATGATTTGATGACAACTTAAACAACAGCATGACAAACAAAGTAAGTCTTCCCATTGACTAACGCTTTGAAAGCACTAGGAAAAAGCTTTGATTGTTTACAAGCATGAAGGAACTTGCAGCATTGATCCAATCTGAGACATATTTGACTACATATTTATCGTGTTATTATCCTATTTAGAGGCTGTTGAGGTGGAATCAAATCAATTCAGGGTATGAAAATACTATTTGGTTCACCATAGACAGCGACAGTCATCTGGTCCTGATGGACAGTATTTCCCACAGCAGCCTGGACAACAACAGTGTGACTACCCTCAGTGGAGAAAGTGAAGGACATCACACCATCCAGGGTCACCCTGGGCTGAAAAACAAAGACGCACAGAGAGATGATAAAGCTCTATTGTGGCACTTGGTAACAAGGCTGAATGAGAGAGAGAAAAAAGAAAGTAGTGCTTACTTCCGTCTTGTTACCAAACCACCAGTAATATGTGACTGTCCCCACATTGCTGGGATGTAACACTGTCGTGACGTTTGCTGCTTTGTTCTTCACAACTACCGACGGAGCCAAGAGCTGGACCTGTTCAAGTTGGCCTTTCAAGAGAGAAATCACATACACAATAAATTCACATGTTGTTGGAATATACCAAGATACAGCGTCGATGAAGCTTGAAAGAATCAAACTGTAGCCACATTTTTAGCCCTATTTTGGCCCATCAGTGACAGTCTGGCTCACAGTGAGCATACACAGAGTGGGGGAGTTGATAGCATCGCAGGAGTGGTTAGACAAGTATCTGTGGATGTTCTGATAATGTCACATTTGGTATCAGCTATAATGAGCTACATTGAAACTGACCACTGCTGATATTCTCTGTCATAAGGAGAAGACAAACATCCAGCTTTTCAGGCCAACACACAGTGACACTCAAACTTTGGATTGGATTGGTTTAGTTGGACAGAGTGTCCCTTTAATGAGCCAATTTGAAGATAGAATAAAGGATTTGTGAGCACATTTGCCAAAAGGGTTCGCATTCTCTCTATATCTGTTCTCTACGGCTTTCCGTCCGGCAGGAGCGAAATAAAAAAAAAAGGGCATCAGAGCGCAAAACAACTTCTAGTGTGTAGGTAAAGAACTGCATTGCGTTTTCCACACTGGAATGGCAGCTGACAGGCTTATGCTCCTCCATCAGACGTGTATCTTAGAGAGCACTTTTTCACTATTTCTCCAGAGGCTCAATCTGAAAACATTTGATCAAGTTTCCTCCTACACAAAGTCACCCTAGAGGACTCGTAATCATGTTTTCCCCTCTGTAAGAGCACCATAGAGAGCCCTCTCTCAACTTTTTTTTCTATTAGAAGGGCACCCAAGTGGATACTTAAACACACATTATCCATGAAAAACTAGCATGATTCTTTATCATGTTTTTTCTCCACTGAACTTTCAGCCTGGAGGACAGTTTATCCCATCTCTCCAAAAGAATTGCATAATAGAAAATATTTTTGCAGTTATTCTAACTTGACTGTTTTAGACTCACAGGAGACGTGGAGGTAGAGTATCACCCTGTCATAGCCCAGAGTGTTGGTCGCTGTCGCAGAAACTTGGTAGATGCCAACTTTACTGTAGATATGCTTGACCCCATCTTCAATGGAGCTTATGTTGACGTAGGACATGGAGGTCCCATCGCCGAAATCCACCGTAATACTTGTGGTGGAGCTCAGACCCTTCAGAAAGAAAACAAAATACTGTCACTCACACTGTAGCCTCAGATGTTTGTCAGCGTCTTGCTGACACATAACAGCGTGCATTTTTTTTCATAATGTCTGCAAAAAAGGAGGTCATGTGGTACATCATGTCACTGCATATTTACTTGACATGCTGGTGCTCCTGCCTCTGTGCTTACGTCTCTGACAGGATCTCAATATACTCATAACGACGAAGGAAAAAAACATGCAGCCTACATGTATCACTCTGTGACAGACTGTATTGTTGCTTTGTGTATATATAAATAAAAAAAAAGTCACCACCTCTTCAAGAAAGACCAAGAAGGTGACATTCCTCCCCAGTGTCGCCACCAGTGTTCCCTCACTGGTGAAGAGCTGGAGGCCCTTGGGTGCCTGGGTGGGACACTTCTGTCGCCTGGGGCTGTACTTCAACAGCGTTCCCTCAGTGCAGTTGTTAGATAAAGCTCTGCGATATCTGGAATTCATTAAAGACACCCACAAGACACAGACGAGCACTGCATGAGTGTTAAAGCAGACATAAAATAAAAACACACACAGGGAGACATCCTGAAGAGATGTGTTACTTTGTTTTTTTATCTACATACTCCCACAGCTCTTTTCAGTTCAGTTAGCCCTTTATCAACACCAGCCATCACTTACAAGTGGGCTCATTAAATCAAACGGAGGCGGCTGTGGCTCAGTGGTCGAGTATCTCAACCAGAAGGTCGGGGGTTTCAATCCTCAGCTCCTGCAGCCACATGTTGAAGTGTCCTCGTGCAAGACACTGAACCCCAAATTGCTCCCGCTGCTGCATCAGTGTTGTGTGAATATGTATGAATGGGATTAGTTAATACTGATGTTCACTTTACATGTCAGCCTCTGCCATCAGTGTGTGAGTGTCGTGTGAATGGGTAGGTGTGATCTGTGACGTGAAAAGGGGCTTTGAGCAGACAGAAGTCAAGGGCTATACTGGACAAGCTCAAGTCCAAGTCCAAATGATGTTCCACACTAATTCCGATATAAAATTTATATTATTACCATATTATATTCTATATAATTCTATATATTCTACATGCAATAAACAGCAATAAACAAATTGTTTGAAATGATAATCTATTACTGTCGTCAAATTAGACTAATCTGTTTTGTTTTAGAAAAGCTTGAAAAACTTCATGTCCAACATTTGACGCTCATGTTGGAGGAAGGCGTGTCCTGTCCAGTTGGCTTATGTTGCTAGTAGTCTATGGTTTTTGTGGCAATTATATACTCATGATCATCTAGCAACATTTGTCAACCCTATTTGAATGTAAAATGTTCTCTTTAAGACAATTTAGTGGTGAATATGTTTCCTCTTTTATTTTCCCATCTTCAGCGATTAAAGTGAGCTACGTCACCATTTTGGTCACTTCATGGGTTTATCTACCTCTGCTTGGGAATCCCTTATGCTTAGCATAATGAAGAATGCATGGACAACTCTCACTGGTAATGAATATTAGGAACATTTCATGGATATTATTTGCAAATAAACATTTCACGCAGAAGGGCAATGCCGGAGTAAGCAATCCAATCCTTAACTTAACTAAATGTTTGAATAGAATAGAGTAAAACAGTGAAGTTAAACTCCTATTTGAGCGAAATACACAACTATTATCAATAAAATGGTATCAAATGATAGAAGCAATATAACTGAACCTTGGATATTTAATGAAACAAAACTATATAGGCAGTAAGAGGAGAATGTTTCTGTTGTTGGAGCTGCTAAAAACTCAGACACTTAAAATACAATAACACGCCACAACCAGACTCCTCGACTGGTTGAATCTGTCGAAATGCGTTGAAAGATTAAGGGTTACAATAGATAGATTTGGTGAGGCTGAACCCCATATTGGTGTAACCGTACTGGGTTACTTTCCACCACTGCCTTTCAGCATATTGGCATTCCCTCTACTCACTTAGCTGGTGCCAATACAAACGAATGCAGCGTACCCCGTGGTGTTGAGGAAGCTGTCTCCGGCGATGCAGTCTCTAGATGTTGCTGAAGGAACGAACCAGAAAGCCTGAGTGCAGCTTCCGTCGATCTGCCTCTCAAACCCGTAGTCACTGTTTCGTTTGGAACAACAGGCACCGAAAAAAAGAAGGTGTTATTGGGATTAGTTATCATTTATTCAAAATATCAAATATAATTACAAAGCTCAAACAGAATCATACACAGTAGAGGTGTTTCAGGCTGAGCAGCTCTGAGTATTTGAGATTTGATGTTTTATGTATCAGGCTCCTGAAGCAGAAAAGGTGTTGTGCGTGTTAGCACACTCTGCAATTATTACCTCACCAGAGTGAGAGGGATCCGTCAGATTTCTGTCATTGTGATCTGGGAAAGACAGTCAGTCTCAGGAGCCAGGGTTGGAAAGTTGAATAACTCTTATAGTAATTACGTGGTGTTAAGCTTGTTTAATATAGCAGTGAGTGCTGCTCATTTAGCACGGGCGAGATCAGGAAGATAAAAGAAAGTATGAGACAGTTAAGTGATGTACGAGAAGTTCTGACTCATTAGACACAGAGAAAAACATCCCATCGCAGTGGAAGTATATTCTAATGATTGGCAGGGTTAGACTTCGGTATTTTTAGTTCTATTCTGAATGTTCATTTGTATTCTGCATCTAGAAAAACTTTCTAAAATGATGTTGACCAGATTATTATTCCATGCTAATTAAAATAAAATAAAAAGGCAAGTGACCAAACCAATCAAGCCATCCTATTTATCATGCTAGAGGCACATAGCACATAAAAAATGTACATCTGTATTCACCAACCCAACCGCTAAGGTTTAACACCCTCCACCTGCTGTCTGTCCCACAGACACATTTTAAGACTGGTGGTGATCGTGCGTTTGAGGCTATAGCACCAATCCTTTTGAATTCCCTGCTCATCTCGTTACGTTCTTCTGACTCTGCTGAGTCTTACAAAATGCACCTTAAACGTTGATGTTTAGACAGGGCTATGGGTAATCACGTCCACCCAGTCTACCTAGTCATCAATGTTTTACTGTGCCACTTCATGTTCCTTGTCATAGCAGGATTTCATAATGTCGGTCCATGAAGTACTCGTTTATTCCTGTTTTTATTGTATTTTGTTGATGTAAAGCACTTTGTGACCTTTGTCTGTGAAAAGTGCTGTATAAACAAACTTTACTGACTTACTTATATCTAATGAGGAGGAACATAAACAGAGATTTAATTTTTTTAAGTCCATACACGTACTTCATTAAAGTTAATGTGTATTTCAGTTAATGGAGTGAAACTGTGGAATTCTTTAGATAATGACTTCAAATGCTGCTCAAATATTATTCAATTTAAAAGAATGTGTAAGGAAAAAGTAATGGGGAATTAAGAATGTAATGAGTAAATCTAACTCTGCGATGATTGTTTTTGATTGTTTCAGTAGGTATTGTTGATTTGATTTGATTTGTGAAAGAAAAAGAAAACAACAGGTTTGCCATCTGATTCTGTATCAACAGAAACTTATGTTATTAAGAAAGGGGCAGGTAGCGTGATAACATTTTTATCTATACATGCAGTATATACAGTAAATATGAATTGATCTCTTTTCTTATTTATGTTTTACTTATGGTCTTTTTCATCGTGGACAGCTTGAATTTATCAATAACATGATGAAAAATGATATGTATGCTTTTGTGTCCTTGGAACAGGGTTTAGATGAATTCTCCTTAATTTGTATACCTCCTCTTAGTGTGTGTGTGTGTGTGTGTGTGTGTGTGTGTGTGTGTGTGTGTGTGTGTGTGTGTGTGTGTGTGTGTGATAGAAAAATATTCCAAAAAAATACAAAAAAAGTGCTTGTGTTCTTCTTACTCTCTGATGTACGTCACTTTGGATAAAAGCGTCTGCTAATTGAACACTTGTAGGTGTTTTCTCACATTTGAAATAAATCAATACTGGAATATTAAATAACACTGTCATAAACCAAGACGGCTAAATAAGTAATGAAATTGATTGCAACTTGTTTGAATCAGATGAATCAGAATCATTTAATGAAGTTCATTCTTCCAAAGTAATCATATAAGCTACAATCACAGTGAGCTGTGAGATCCTACAGAAAGAAAATATGAAAATATGAAAAACAAGTTGAGAATCATAAAATCTAAATCTTCAAACACTCCTCTTGTTGTGCCTTAGGTTTGCCTCGCAGTCTCTGCCTCTGGAGACGTGTAAAGCGTTGTGCACTGGATTTAATGAAGTGAAAGGAGAAGCTGCAGAGCGGGGGAACTCACCACTCAAAATCTGCCTCTGTGCACGGGCAGGAGTCTGACATCTGGGAAATATACTGATCTCTGGCCTTGACACACTGAACGTTTGCTTTCAGCTTCTGGAAGATTCTCTTCATTCCCATGATGCATACTTCGTCCTGTGATGAATTATGAATCAAAAACATTTCAGACGTTCTTATTCTTTCTTTTTTTTGTGTGTGTGCGCCATGTGGCTTTTACTGTGTGACTGAATCAAAGAGATTCACTGGAGTTTAATCAACGACAAGAACCCTCATGGTAGAATCAGTCAGGGAGCAGCAGGATCCACTTACCCCATTGTGTAACTGCCACGTCAGATAGTCTTCAGATGTGCATCGATGTTGGAAAATTGAGCGGAAGTCAATCTTGACAAGTTGCCATTCAGATCGATGGCTGAAATGACCAAAAATTCTGCACAAACAATCCAGAAAAACAAAGTCAAAAACATTCAGGAAATGGGTTGTTTTTTTTTAAAAAAGGAAGTGTTTTGAAAAGCTTCAAACTTGCGACTTTTTGATCCAGTAGATTTGAGCACCAGCATTAAACCAAAACAAACTGCTGTTTGGCGGCGCCCAACACCCAAGCTATTCTGAAGCCTCTGCTCTCCTCCAGCGACACACCTCCAATACCTCTCCACTAGCGTTTGCATGAAGGAGTTATCAAATGGAAAGCACCATAATTTAGCACCATTAAGTACAAGCAGCGGACAAAATTGTCCTTTTGCTTGAGCTGCAATTGCCTGTGGCCTGCATTTTGGTGTTAGCACACTTTGGTTAACTCATAGCTTCATATTGCACATAAATTGACAGGGAATGATTGTGATCTAAACACACTTATGTGACATCCAAATGTGAGTAGGCTATGTTATTCTTTTTTTCTCTAGTCCTGGACTAAACCAACTTATTCACAAGGCCGTCCCGTCCATGTAAACATGATGTAAACAACAGGACAGCTGGCAGGACTCACTCTTCTCACTCATTGTAGACAGTCATGACTCAGAGAGACATTTACACAGGATATACTTGATATTTCTAAGTATATCTAATTTAAGTGTAAAATGTTGCACATTCTTCCTTTAATTTGATGCACTGACTTTGATTTATTTCCCTCTGTGTGTGTCAGAAAAACTCCTCTACATCTACATCTAAAGGCCTTTTCAAACGCACATTAAATGAACCCAAAAATATGTATGTATGCTTCTAAGCCTCCATCCAGTTGAGATTTAATTACCCATTGCTGTAATTAAGGAACTACAGGCATCTTTAAGCTCTTTATGTATCCTTCATATCTTACGTCATAATGAGGGTGTCTTCTCCAGGTTCCCCGAGCACCCCGTCGACATAGAGCGGAGAGGAGGTGAAGCTATATTTTACCCAGTTCCTGCCCTCATCAAAACTCAGCCTGAGGGAGAGAACAACAGTTAGATCACAGACAGGCCAGCCACAAGTAAGTCATAAAAGCCTCGAGCAGGAAAACAGCCTCAGCCCCACTTTCAAAGATTGAGTATAGTCTCTAAAACATCGTGCGACGTCCTAGGAGAGCCTCACCAAATATGTCTAATTGGCAGAGGTGTGTGTCTTATGGCCACCAGAGATCCTCCTTGATTCAGGAAAAACACGCTGTACTCCTCCTGAAAAACCTGCAGACACAATCCAGCTTCAATACATCACACCGGAGCAAACATGAAAGTCTATACACACAGCATATATCAGTGACAACATAAGGAACATGCATTCTTACTCCTACACACTTAACAAGTAGAAACCTCAACCGTTCTTTACACAGGAGTCTCCGTCGCGTGAATAAACAATTGCATCAAGCAAGTGTTGCTTGCTTTGTTGCTTTGTGTTTTTTTTGTTTTTTTTAAGCCGATGGCATAAATCTGTGTGCTCCTTTTGGTTTATCTGTTTTGCAGATCAGAGATGCACATTTCTCACACAAGCCCATGTGTCAAACCTCAATTCCTTTATTTATTATTTCTCTGTGGGAAGCAAGAGCTAAAGAAGTGAAGGCTGAATGTTGGCATTGACAGTTTTTTTTTTTTTTAACCTATTCTTTATTCTTATAATGCCTGACTGATTCAGCTACTTTTCTCATTGTGTTCTGTATAAAAACGGAGGTTCAGTTCGAGGCCAAGGAAAACATTGAACAGGTCAAAAGATTTCTCTGGATGAAAAGAAAAAAGTGATCATACTTTGAATGAATACAGAAAGTTATACTGCATAACGCTATAACGACAATATTTGCCTTTATATCAATGCTATGTGTAGTCCAACAGAATGACAACATCCAAAAAGAGCGGAGAACCAACATAATGACGAACAGAAAACGTAATGCAGCTGTTTCATAAGGTGCATGTAGATCGTAGAAAAATACTAGGGGTCTGGCAGGAGAAACGCCGTTTGAAGTCTGAGCGAAAAAATCCGGCTGTTTGCGTTCACATGTACAGCTCCTCCGGGAGTTTTTCCAAGAGATTTCTGCTAGTGTGAAAATGGTAATAGAGATTAGTTTTTATTCTCTACCTCTTTCCATGTGTTTCCAGCATCAGATGTGATGAAAATACTGACGTTAGTACTGGTCAGCTCAGGTCCAATCACACCTGCACACAAAAGTTAGAAGAGCACTTTTTTTAATCCTCATTATTTTAAGCATGTTAACTAAACAAGGCAAATCAGGGCAGTGTCTGTCGCTCTTTCCTCTGACACAACACGGAACAGACATGCAGGAAACATTGATCTGATTATGTTTTCTGATTTGCCGTGGGCTGAAAAAAAAAAAAGACAGAGCTGGGAACAGACGTTAAGAACCGGGAGCGATACGGCTGAAAGTAAACAACAGTATGGATGTGAAAATCGAAGGTGCAAATCAAATAATCTCCTCACCTGATGCGATTATAACTCCTGGAGCTGTGTCTTTGCTGACAATGTTTCCAGAGGTGTAAGGATTCTCTGAGACATGCAGGTGCAGATGTAAAGAACAGTAAGGCTGCAAAAATACGAAGCAGAATCATTTGCTGAAGTCAAGAGAAGCTGAGGAAGGTTTTGATATATATTAAGATTTCATCAAAGATGCCCTGACTCAATTATGATTCTATCATTTTTTTATTTCAAGTCATTATCTATCTGAATGGTTCAACTGTTATCAGAAATATATGGCTTTTTATTTTAACAATTGAAAGTATAACAAACATATTATTGCACATCAATACGCCTCCTTAATATAAATGTGATCAGAGAAACGTTTGCTGGATGTTATTTTTGAAGTGTTTAAAGGTAGCAGCTTATCAGAGTATAGATGTGTTTGCGGGATTGATTTTTAGAGAACCCGCCTATAAAGATTTTAATCATAGCTGAGGAAATACTTTATATAGGATTGAATTGATTCTCATTTTATTTCATGGTTGACTTGGTCCCCCAATTGATAAACTTAATAAAAGTCCTGTGCTGAAAGTAAATGCTTTGATTACTGATCATGTGTCTTCATTTTGGGGCGCCGGTGGCCGAGTGCTTAGCGCGCCCCATGTACAGAGGCTGTAGTCCTCAAGGCGGGCAGCCCAGGTTCAAATCTGACCTGTGGCTCCTTTACCATTGTCATTCCCCTCTCTCTCTGTCCCTGATGTCTGACTCTAGCAAAGTGGATAGAGTCAGATATCAGGGACACTGACCTATTTCTGTAATAAAGGCATAAAAAGCCCAAAAAAAATCTTTTTTTTTTTTTTTAAATACATATTAAAGTCAGATTAAAAGGTGTGATATGTGTGTTTAGTCATTATATCAGTAGTTATGATCCAAAATGCTCTACAGTGCAGAAATGTACAATTTAGTATCTGTCCATAAACTCCTTCTTGAACTATTTGAAGCATTTGTTTCTCAAAACCGGGGGCTGCTTTGGCCCCCCTTGAAATCTGATTGGCCACCCCAGGTGCCAAGGCAAAATGCTAAAATCAACAGTTTGGGCAGCGTTGCAACAGATGGACAATCAATTTGGAAATCAATTTTTGGAAATCAATTTTTAAATCTCATCTCAAAACATCGTTTTAAACTGGCATATTCAGTCTGACCATCATCCATCCAGCCTCATGAATCCTCTTCACAAACACTTTATACTATAGATTTCTCTTTGAATGTTAATTTAATCTACTTATTGTTACTTTGTTGTTCATTCTATCTCCACTTTGTAAGGTGACCTTGAGTGTTTTCAAAGGCGCCTTTATTTAAAAAGGAATTATTATTATTATTATTATCATTGTCATTATTATTAGTATTAGTATTATTATTATTATTGTTATACAGCACATCTTCTCCCGTTAGTCCTCAAAAAAAGGCTAACCCTACAAGATTTCAATGTTGCCTCTATGATGCATTACTTTTTAAAGTAGAAAATATATTTAGATTCTTTAAAGTTAGCATTTGAAGTAGATATAATAAAGTGGATATAGAAACTGTAAATAAATATCACTGATTCCTGTGTTTGCACACACATACTTGATGTGTAAAAGTCTTGAGGGTATTAAGATAGATTTTAATTTTGCCCTATAAGCTTTCGTTTTGTTTGGGTGGCGGGTTTTGGGGAGTGGGGCCCATAAATGTTTCCTCCTGCCGGGGGGGGGCATCACAGAAAAAGTTTGAGAACCTCTGATTTAAAGACAATTACTACTGCTACATCTACTTATTGTGATTAAAACAAAGATAACGTCCTATGTATAGATTGAACATTTATTATTGAAGTAATGTTTTTTTTATATGTGAATGTGCCAAATTAGACACAATCTTATTGGTTGAAAGGTTTTGCCCTCAGGTAAAGTCATTTGATTTATATTCCTAATATCACAAATATGCCTTAAGCAGCTTTGTAATATGTGTATTTCACAACACCTTCCAACCCAGACCCCAGACCCTAAAGGTTTGTTAAATGATTAGAAAAGTCTCTTCTGTCCCTGGTGTTTTCTGATCTGTGTTGATGTGATACGCAGTCTTTGACCAGGCTATGGCACGATCCAGTGAAGTGTTTGTTCAGCAGATAACACAAATCCAAATAGGCAAATCTATCTCCTGTCAGTGGCCCACTTACTTGTTCACAATAGACCTGGTTTCCCTGGAGATCGGTTGTAGGAGCCTGAAGAAGGCGCCAGTCTCTCCCCTTGTTGTATGTGATATAAGTTTTCACTTGGTTCTCAACAACTTTATTTGACAGGAACACCCCTTTAATCCCGGCAACCTGCAAACATGAGAGAGAAAGAGAGCAAGCGGTGGAGGGGGGAAAATAACAAAAAAGGGAGAAAAAAAATAACTGTGAATTATTCAGACTTAAGTAAAGCTGAAGGCCTAGTTCGGAGAGGGTGAGATGTCTGAAAGTGATAGTTTTTCTGACAGGGAGCACTATTTTAGACCATCTGTAGGACTCTGCAGAATCAAAACAACATATGCCGCAGCCCTGAGATATTTCTTCCTCTTTGTTTTTTATGCGCAGAGACGCAGACCCACGTGCAGCTTCACTTGGGTTTACATTTCTTCTCCATTATAAGAGCATACATCTTTATGTCAATGGGAGAATGACTGTTTCCATATCTGCTACCGGTCAGGTCAGTGCAGCTAAATATTTCAGGGAATTTAATTTGAGTGTGGGTCAGTGAGCAGCCACAGTAACCGGCTCTGATGCCTTTCCTAGGTGTGTGTTAGCAACAATGTGATGCTTTTACTGCTGGCTGCAGATGAGGATAATTCAGAGTGATGCATACATGTGCAGTCACTGCAACCTCGCAGTACCTCTGTACACACGCACATATATAATGTACTGGGCTCAAGTTAAAGCTTCTATTTTGCCTGCAATGTGACTACAAGCTTTAAGGCTTTTGAATTTTTGTGTATAGATGGTACAGTATCTTAAGACTGAACCTGCAGAATGTGCTTTTTGCGTGACAGTTTCACATGAAAAAGATAATAAAAGCAGGCAGGAAGGGGATAGGAGAGAGAATAAAACGCAATGTCGCAACATCTGTTCCATTATGTGAGGACATCCGAGACATCCAAGCACAGGGCACAATTAAGGAAAACACGACAGAAAAACCAAGAGTAACTCGGAGAAACGTTTAGGCTGTCTGTTGTACTCTACTTGTCAGAGTGGGTTTTATTGTTGAAGAGAATTTGTTTGGCGCTTTTACTTGAGAAAAAAATCTTTGGGAACTTTAATGCAACGTTTGCTACCCGTATATTTTTATGGTAAACAATATAAGAGTTGGGCAGATGAGAGTCTAGATAATGTGTGACTGTGTTTTGATTGATGAATGCTGCTGAAAGGTACTTTATTTAAGTGTAGAGAGAATTTATTTCGTCATTAATCATTAATCAAAGCTCTCATTATTTTTCTTAGTTCTTTCTTAATAGCCACCCCCTAAAAAATGCCAATTAATTCCAAAACACAACGTAAGCTCTGAAAGCTCAATCAGCAGCTATGATGTTGTGCAGGGAATCATTGTTTTATTGATCAAGCACACATTCCTGAAAGTTACTTACAGCTACTTAATGAGGGATGGTTTTACTCGTCCTTATTTTAACATCCTCGAAAAGGGAATAACCTCTCTAACATCGCCTTGGGTTCTGGGGAATTACATTTCCAAGTAATATTGAGCAGACAATGACTTGCTTTTTGGAAATCTTTGTCAGCAGTTAAAACTCTATGATCAACAATTTGCAATGACATAAAACAGCAAATCGCCAAATTTGACCTTGCACATTTTTTGGCTGTTTGGTTTGTTAGATTGCATTTTTTTTTTTCAATGGTGAATCCATTTAGTCACTAATTTCAGCACTCAGGAAAGTAAAATAAAGTTTGAATAGTTGCATGCAGGATTAAAACATTCAGAATATGAAGGCATTTGTAAAGGACTGCACATCGCAAATATGAAAATCCCAATGCTTGTATAACTGCGTTAATTCTTACATAAACTAGCTTAGCAAAAATTTATGAAGATGAAAAATTCCATCAAGTCACATAAACTGCAGCAGTTACACAACCAGACCAGTGATGTCAGTGTGTTCAGCGTGCTTGACTAAAAAAAGGGTAACAGGCTGACACCACCAGGCCAACAAGACTGTCACTGCCCACCTCATAGAGGTCGATCATGATGTTGCCCTCGGGTCCCCCGCTGCTCACAACGTCCTCCAGCATCAGCGTGAAGAACAGCCCTCTGGACTCAGACATGTACAGGTTGTACGAGTCGTTCTGGTGCCAGTCCTGAATCGCTGCCACCACCTGGTTATCGTCTGTGCTGATTATCTGCAAGTCCTGAACACGGGAAACGTATCAGTAGATGTCTCTGTGTGGGGAAGACAGCTTAGTAGCCAAAAAAGATGTGATTTAAAGGAGTTCTCTTAATAAAACAGGGTGGAAGTGTGCCCATAGAGGCCACAGAGCTTGTGCAGTGAGCTAGCGATTTGTCACTTCTTGACAAGATTCAGTCAGGATCAGCAGGGATTAGACCTCAGGCGTTTCATGCCATGCACTAAAAATGAAGACAGGCTCCATTTAATTTTACAGAACCCTTTATCCAATGTGAGAAGAGGTAGTGTGTGTCCTTCTCAAGGAAGCTTTGACAGAAAGCATGGATGGATGGATGGATGGATGGATAGACTGAAATAAACAACACTGTCTGCACTAAATCGCTCCTGTTGACATGACACAGCCACTCAAACCACTAAGCATCCCTGCTGCACTTCTAATATATGAAAGTCAGTGCAAAACACTGGAACAGAAGCACTTTCCTGCTCCTAAAAAGTTCCTGAGGACACAAACTGTGCAACACCAGATTTATTTTCTTCAATTAAGTATCTGTTGATACAGAAGGGAGGGCAATTGATTAAAGACTAAGCATGGCTCTTGAATAAACACAAGATCTGAAGATATAATTATGCATAAGCAAATCAGTTTTCAGGAGGGTAATAACGCGGAGCAAACAGTTTAATGGATTTGTCAGCAAACATCATGACTAACTGAAAACAAGCCTACTTTAAATCGTTTGAAAAGTATGAGTGTGTTACAGTGAAATGAAAACTACACTCGTTCTGCAGATTGTTTCTCTGCATGTGCTCGTGCTCACCAAACAGTGTGCGCTCTGCAGCAATCTTACCTTTGGCAGGGTGTACTTGGGAAGCTTCATGGGGTAGAAAGCGTTTCTTTTATAGGACACATAATGGACAGAGCGGCCACCTATTGGCACCTGGAAAATGCATAATAGTGCAATTTGAAACTCATTACAATTCAGGTAAATATTCATAGACTTCAGTGGGTGCACTGATTGCTGGCAGCATGTTTTAAACAATTAAAACAGCCATCAAAACTCAGAGTTTGCCACTAATTAGTATGATTTGCATTATGACAGAGTTTTAGTTTAAAACACGACACTGCCATTTCACTTCCTTGCCATCCTTTCCCAGGATAATGGCCCCTTTTAGTTAACTCAAAACATGACTGTACATTAAGATGCAGCGGTTTTACGGCTTTTAATTGTCTTTTAATGAAGCCAGACCTTGCAATAAAAACCCACCTGGATGAAAACGTATTCATCCTGAACCACCAGGGAGTCGGGGATGATAAATCCAGGGAAAGGCTTGCCCTTGTTTCCATCAGAACAATTCTGAAGTTTACAAGTTATGTACTGTGACCCTGTGGGTAAACAAGAGATGGGTGCTAAAAATACAGCATTGGGAAAAACAAGCAACCTTCTGTAGCTCAAAACCAAGGATTAAGCATCACTTATGCTGATGGTATTAAGTGAGCCATAGAGGCAACATTTTAGAGGCCAATTCTTATTCTCACTAATAGATAAAGTAGATAGTGCTGTCCCAGTGCGTTAGCATCAGCCAAATGAGGCAGCCTCCCCGGGGACAGGGCATTAACACACAAGGCCTTATGGAAGAACCCTCCTCTCTGCACTGTGGCCAAGATCATTGCCAAGTAGCAGCCTGGCCCTTAAAAAATGAATTAGCTTAATCATATGAAGAGTCTCCATGAAGCCAATTCAAATGGGGAGGTGGCTTTTAGTAGGGACAGCAAAAAGATGAAACTCTCACCAGTCTTTTAAATAGGAGGTTGAATTGTTTCTACTCACGTCCATCAGAGACGCTGATCTCCAGGTGGATCATACCCTGCTCCTTGTCTAAACCCAGTCTGGACCTGTAACATCAGGACATGTGTCAGAAAGATCCGTTTTCTACTGAAGGGTAGATGTCAATTAATAATGATATCTTGTGCTTAAATAATAAAAGAACATATTCCCACATTAGGTTAATGGAACATCCTCTCTGGTTTATGACTTCCTGGGACATCTTACTTGTTAGCCATTATCAGAGCCTAGCCACAACACTAGTTGTACTTGCAAGCAGAAGTTGCAGAGATGATTTTTTTTCCTGCAAAAGGACTCAGCCTGGTTGTAATGTGAGAGTTACAATATAAATGTAGGTGGAAATGTACACATTTAAGTGTAAAGGGGAATGCACAATCCAGTTCACAATCCAGAGTATTGAAATCCAGAAGTTAACAGAAAGTTGAACTTTGAAAGTTGAGCTTACTGTATGAAGGCTTGTTCATATATATTAGTCATGTAGGATAGACTTGTGAGTTAAAGATGATTAGATAAACAGTGTTTCTGACATTTGCTTTAGAAAATACATAAACCTGTGAAGAATTCAAATGTTAACTCACAACAGAACACTATACCTTTAATAACAAAACCTTATCGCTGACTAGCTAGCTACATAGCATCACTGAGATTAGCATAATTTAACTTCTTGTAAACTACATGAATACGTAGATGCAACGGGTTACAAACAGAGCGCTAAAAGTATCAGCATATTACAGTTATGCAAAATGTACTTTCCTATGTGTTTCAAACTCTAATATGTGTCCCTAGCTTGTCTAAAAACCCTCAATTATGAGAAAAATCCATCCTGTCCGTCTTTTGCCTGACTCAGCTTTTCAGAAAATGTTTGCTCAAACAGGCCGATTGGAGATTTTCCCTATATGACGTCATGTAGTGATTGAATACCTCCCCCTGGTGGGTGACACTGCCACAGCTAGGTGTTTGTTCTGCCCTCTGAATCTGCATTTTAACGGTAGGGCACGTTGTGAGAAAGCCTAGGCCGCATACCCTTCCAGAGGGGCGTGGTTGAACACAGCTCATTTGCATTTAAAGCTACAGACACAGAAACAGCCTGTTCTGAGCAGGGCTGAATTAGAGATGTTTATAAGCATGATAAAATACAGTTCAGGGATGGATTTTTAACAAGAGACTTCAAATACATGTTTTGGGTACCTCTGAGACTTATTTAAACTGGTTGAAAATAATTTTTGGCAGCTATTTTCCTTTATGTAAATTGGTTTTTACAGGCTATACCATTCTTTAAGTGGGGCTTTGAACACAACATGATTCAGACGATAGTTTCAAACTAGTGAGTTATTTACAGGAAAGAGGAATGTAAACCAAGACATTGATTTATAGATAGTCTGTGCAACTAAATCCTGAAGGGTAGAATGCATTATTTATAAAGGAAAAGGGGGCAAAAGGTTCTACTGAAAAGTGGTTTGTTATTTTTTGTCTAACACAGTTATCCTCTTTTTGTACTGGGGGGGACACTAGCTTTTAAAACCCAGGTTGGGAGCCACTAATTTAGCAGTATGCGGTACCTGAACAAAGACTGTTAGATTTGGTTGGAAAAATAATTGTCTTTTTTTTACTCTCATTTAATTTTCGAACATTATGTTGCTCAATAAGGCATAAAACAAAAAGCTTTAACAATTAATTTGCTGGTGTTTGGACATATTTGAGTGATGCTGTGTAAATAATTAAAAAAATGTGAAAAAAGGAAATTGAGGAAACAGTTGGTTACATTTAGCTTTGAATGTCATTTTGACTTTGTGCGGGGACAAGTGAAATAAAAGACATTTATTGTTCTCTGAGGAGCAATTATAGAGCAAGCTTATCTAAAAACACTGGTGTGACGGACATTTGACCTGAACTGCACTTTATGGCTAAGGTGTACTTAGCCATTTCACTCACTTTCAGCAGAGATTCTTCAAGATAGTGTTTAAGCGCGGGGCGACAGGAGTGACCACTTGTTGTATTAATGGCAGCTGTTGTGACTGAAGATGGGTTTTTTCTCATTTTCCATACTGTGTCTGAACTATAATATAGAAAGCCCCCGTCCTGCTTCCCTCAGCACTCTGTAATTGCCTCACAGCTCCATCTCTTTTAATGGACTTTCTGTCAAATACTTCATCCAATTCTATCAGTGAACAGCGGCCCTCGCCCTTAAATAAACGGCCGCACTGTAACACCGTGTTCTTCACATAACTTACCCTATTTCTGACGAGCTAGGGCGCATGTTTACATGTATTTGTAAATCATGTTTGTCAGATTTCCTCAGATAAGATGAGCATCAAATGGTGAGATGAAAGTATTTATTTCGAAGCCAATCCCTGACGATGTCGGGAGTTTTTTCAACCTGGCATGTTTGACTTGTGGTCGACTTATTTCCTCAGACAGAGAGAAAAAACGTATTTGAACATCAAAAATTTGGGTTTTGATTGATCATCGTTTAACACCCTGGATGATGCCAGACACTGCAGCATGGTGCCAAAACAGAATGTCCTTATTTAGCAGACTGACTCCCAAACAGTGAATAAGGACTACAAATGTATGGTATGCATTCATATAAAAACTACTGCAGAAATTCTAATTATCCATAGGCCTATATACTTTACTTTTGAACATGCCTGGAACACAGCTCGCCACAAAGATCTCTAACTTGGTAAATTTGGCTTGAACATTGGATTAGTTTGGGGAAATATGTATTAAATATGATTACTTTATATTTAATTTTTCAGAACAGGTTGTAGTGTAAAATTGATGTTGTGCTGTGCAAATTGTCCCTGATGTATAAGTAAAGATGGTCTGTTGAAGTCTGGTACAAACCTAAATTAAAGACAAACCCTCTCTAATGAAAAAGACCCACAGTGTGGAGCTGTATGTGAAGCAGAGAAAAAAATCATCTAATATGTGAAAAACTGAAGGTCTATTTGTGCAGAGTGAAGCTCGGGTGCATGTCAATTATCCACAGAAACAGATTTAATTGTTTTCCTGCAGAGAAAAAGCCTTTGTTTGATGTGTGAATAAGGTGACTCTGGGAGAAAACACCTTTTTGTTCACCTCCATTTCTGTTTTGTTTTTTTCGAGATGGAGGATAATGCAAAGCTGGACTTTTTTATTGTTTGCATATTTTGCCATTACTGTTAGAGGTTTTGTCTGACGAATGTTTCAATTACATTTGTGGAGTCTTATGAGTCCACACAGGCTGGCAATATGTGTGTGCATGACACTATAAACAATGTAATGAAGTGTGGATTCACTTCCTGCAGCTGTTGTGGGTTTGCAGATGTTCCTAGCTTGCAATCTGTGGCGCTGATAGCCCAAAGTTTATCACAGTTACATGAGGGGGGATGACAGTGCCCATGGAGAAAACTAAAGGGTACTCCTCTACCGTAAAAAAAAGAAGAAGTGTCATACACCCACATCCCCCTTTGAGAGTAAAACTCAAAACCCAGCCTCATTTAACAAGAGAGAGCCTTTGTGCTTTGTTTTGTCAAAAATCGAATGAGCCATCAACTCATTTTGAAAATGATTTTTATTTACTGTGATAATGGTGTTAATATGTTTCATTTTATTTCCAAGTCTGAAGCAAAAGCTGCACTCACACTTCCTTTGTGTGCTTCTGCAATTTTCCTTCTTATGATTTGTGAGAGAGATTCTGTAGCCAACAACTATAAAACAACTATAAATTAATTTGATCCTGGGCCGTAGTCCCTGAACTATCATCCAACAGCTAATATCAGTGAAACACTGACAGAGAGAGAACAGCCTTTATCCTGAGTAAAACACATCAGGTATCATACATAATTAATAGAAGCAGATAGATAATATTTGAATAACATTAGATTTGTAATAGATCTTCAGGCAATCTCGCTAGAGACCATGATTCAATTTAAATGTTTTTTTAAATCAGAGGATCTATCGTAAAAACATTTACAACCCGAAAAAAAACCACCAATCGGTTTGACCACTGAATATAAAAATGCTGGAGCAATTCAGCCTCCAGGCTACCGAACGATATAAATGGACCCCACCTCTCACTGTTTCTTTACATGTCAACAACCTGAAGAAGTCTCTGTGCTTTTTACAGTAAATATCCTGATCAAATAAAAGCATTTTAACTATAAACCGGCCAGGTCTCTTAGATCATTAAATAAAGGTCTCATTGTGCTTTCAGTTATTAAACTCCTATGCTGGAGCTCCTGACCACAGACTCTCTGTTACAAACTTTACTGCAATCAGTGTTTCAAGGTAACTAAAAAACGATACTCATTGGTTCTACTGTACTTTAATTTTGAGGTAGTATTACTGTCCAAGGTTAATCCATTTTGTGCTTCTTTACACTTCTACTCCTCTGAATTTCAGGGCAAATGATTGCCCATTTTGCACCATTATATTTATATGCTGTCGTTAAAGATTACTTTTAAAGATAAGGCTTTGATTTCAAGAACTTGATAAAGTAGGTTAGGAACAACTGGACCAAATACAGCTCAATAAAAAGAATGAAGTTGTTCAAACTAGCTGTAGAATAATCATCAATAAAACAGTAAAGTTCTATATGAACTAATGCATTCAAATCCACCACTATTAACATTATGTATGATAATATATAAGTCATAAGTTGCAGAATGTCTAATGTTTTGTTACTTTTTTCTATCATTATATAATATTACAGCAAGTTTAGGAGTTAACATTCAAATAGGGCTTAATCTTGAAAATCAAGCATTTATTTATTGTTGTAATTGTGCTTTTAAGTCAAATATTTAAAGGTCAGAAACTACTCTCCTTTACAACAACTTTCAATAAGTCTCAGAGCTCCCCAAAGTATGCCTGTAAAGTTTCTTGTTCTAAATCCACTATGATCCTGTATTTGATCGTGCCTATAAACCCCTCTGATTCAGCCCTGATCTGAACAGGCTGTTTCTGTGTCTGTAGCTTTAAATTAAATGAGCCGTGTCTGACCATGCCTCTCTGGAAGAGCTTTCTCCCTCCATGCCCTATTGTTTATGGTGAGAAGGCAGACACAGAGGTCAGACCAGACACCTGGCTGTGGGAGTGTCACCCACCTCGGGAAGGGGTTACTGCCCTTTGTGATGTCACAATCCCGAAACGGCCAGTTTGACCACACGTGTTATGAAAAGTGGAGCAGGTGAAAGATGAAAAGGATGGACTTTTCTCATAATTGGGCACAAATTATTGTTTGAAAAACATGGTAAAGTGTGTTTTGCATAATGTGTGACCTTCAGGTCCTTCTTCCACAGGCTGCAAAAACAAATGTGATTCCAGACTCAGTTTTTTCTTTCACTGTAAATAATCAAGTGAGATCTGAGGAACAGAAAATATGAATGCAGTTTGAGTCTGTGAACTTCTTATTCATGCTACTATCTATTGCTTTTTATAAGACTTGTAAATATTTACCGAGATTTCCCTTCTGTACTACTGCTGTAAACAGAAAGCTAAAAATGCATACATATTAATTTATTAATGTAGAATTGTTCCGTGCCTGTCTATTATTCATACTGTTTTTTTGAGCATGTCAAAATATGCTGCAACATTGCAGCATTTTTCTCTCCTAGAAAGGCGAAAGCTCTGCAGAAGACTGATAGTTGAACTCACCAGTAGAATCTGTTGGGGACAACGCTGTCATGCACAAGTTGCCATCTTCTCCCAAATTCTACAGAGACATAGAGCTGCAAAAATAAGAGGAATGCATTAGGCAAATGAGGTACAGTACAAGAAATATGTTTCCGAGTCAGAATATCGGAGAGAGTTATTCCCTGATTTATGTCCAACTGTATTATCAAGCAGCTGTCACATTTGTAGACTTTGTGGCATCAATATGGTGATGTTGTTTTGAATACTGCACCGCTGAGCTCATACTTCATATGAAAATGCCTCAGTGATGAGAAAATCTGTCAGTTCCTGTAAAATCTGAGCCATACTCTGAAGGCAGCTTTTTAATATAGAAAAAGGAAATAAAGGAAAAAGTGAATTAATGCTGATGCCAAAAAAAAAAGGAAGGAATGAGAGATGGCAAACCTGTCTTTATCTTTAAATCAAAGGGTCTCCTTCAACATCTCCGTAAGATCTCTGATTGTTATTTTTCAAATCACTTGTTTTATTGTCATGGTAATCTTCTTCCCTTTCCATAAATCCATTAGTCTCCTTTTTACTGCAAAGTCAGACTTTCGTCTGAGCTTTCACAAAGCCTGTCGTCTTGCCATCATCGAGCAGTGGGCATCTAAAGCTCGGAGCTTTGCGAGGATAAGCAGCATCATTTTTACTTATCAGAGCGCTTTAAACTTTTAAAAGACATGGCAGTCAATCGATAAATGCAAAATGAAACCAAGATTAATTTCAGCTTTTATGAAACCACAGACAAACTGATGAAATTTAGCTTTGCAAAAAAACGTACGGAATGACCTGAAGCCAAATTTATCAAGAGCATCTTCATTTTGACCTTAGATGGCCCTAAAATAAGCTTTCATCTTCCTCCCTGCACCATTTATCTCACTTCTCAGACCTTCACTGTGTTTCTCTGAAAATCAAGTCCTCCAATAGCACAGGGCTGGGGAGGCCGAGTTTGATGTCTGTGGTGCTGAGTAAAGCAGACAGCAGGGTTCTCACACAGAGTAATGGTGTGTGTGTGTGTGTGTGTGTGTTTATGCTTGCAGTTGTGTGTGTGTGCGTGTGTGTGTGTGTGAGCTGGTGAATTGCTTGGGCGTGTCTTCCTTGTTAACTTTCCCCCTGTGCTGTCTAGGACAAATCCTTGCAAAGTAAAAGCCTACAAGCAGACCTCATGCCTTTTTAAGGGGAGCAGGTGGGCAGCTGTGTGTGTTTGAGCCTTGGTTTGCCAGCTGGATTGATAAAAAGGAATACTTTCTGATAGAAAAAACAATCTATCTTTTTTGTTATTGTTTTATAAAGAAGTGAATTTTCTGATGACCCAACAGGCTTGTGAAATCAAATCGAGAGAGCAACAAAATGTCAAGCAGCATGAAAGCCATTTGCAAAGCTCCTTACCCTCCACGTTTTTCAGGTGTTATTCCATCTACTTCATGCCATCTGACAAGCTAAAGTTACCTTTTGGTCGTGGCTGTAAGCCAGAATCCAGTCCTCCTGCTCAGGGTGAAAAAGCAGGCTGAGGATATCAAAGGCTAAGCTGTGTTTCTGATAGGACGCCCCCTCGTCAAGGCTAATGAGCAGGCTGCTCTCCACCTCCGGGTCCGTAAGCAGCATGATCTGAGACGAGAAAAGAAAAGAGACTGGGGTATCAGCGGCCCACCTTGACAGCATCCATTCCACAGGGTTTAAGAGCGATCCTGCTACTCGGCATAGATGCACAGTGCGAGCTTCAGCAGAGCTCGCTGTGTAGTGAAAATGATAATAAGTCTGCTGCACGCTGGTCATAATTTATACAATAAAGGCTGGATTTCTCATGCATTTAGAAGCCTTACCTTCCTCTTGTTGTTGGGACTCACGTACAAGTAGCTCAGGATGGTTTTCAGCCCGACTCTCTCATTTAGCTTCTCATATGTGGTCCCATAATCAGTTGACCTAAAATTCAATTAAGAGGATACACTTAAAAGGTTGTGGTGGAGAGCAAAGGAGAATGGAGCAACACCTACTAGTTAAGATGCTGATGGTATCATTAAGCATATCAGGCAAGCAGAAAATTGCAACAGCAGAAGTCATGAAGCAATTTGCTAGATGAATGGAGATTTTTTTAATTATAAAAATAAACAATAACATCCTGTGTGGCATGCAAGGCAAAGAACAGACATATTATCATTCTTCTTATTATTATTATTATTATTATTAATAATGCTTTCGGGTAAAAAACCCAAATTTAATCTTTCTGATTTTCTTGTCTTTTACACAACGGAGGATTTCAGGACACATTTGCCCGTTGGCTGAAAATAAACTTTTGCTAATGGTTGTCTTCATAAAGTGGCACTGCTTTGTTGGGTTGATTTTCGGATGTCACTCCTCATCGCCCAAATTCATCCCAGTTGCCAGGCGACACTTCACTATGGGGACAGCATTAGTTCAGTCTGTTGGGAGTTGGGTTGGGAACTGGAGGGTTGCTAATTCAAGTCGAGGTGCGGACCAAAATATTGAAGTTGGCCTGGTAGCTGGAGAGTTGCCAGGTCACTTCCGGTGTACTGCTGAGGTGCCCTTGAGCAAGGCACTGAATCCACAGCCTTAGGGTGCTCCCTGCGTAGCAGTGTGTAGCAGCCCCACTCTGACATCTATCCACTAATGCATGTCCACAGGTCCTGTTTGTGCATGTATGTATTTCGGGTCTATATGTGTGTGAGAAGCATGTCTCTCAATAACAGAGTGTAGAACAAGATCCTCCCTGAGGGATTAATAAGGTATGTAAAATAAAATCAAATAAATTAGACTCAACCACATGTGGATTCATGCTCTTGAACAGGTTATTTCCTTTTCACACGTTACAACTCATTACTATTCTGTAACACTTGTGTACTGAAGGAAGGATCATTGTAGTGCTGTATAAGTTATAATAATATTAACAGTATTTTCTTAGTCAACCTTCTTTTACTGAGATATTTTTTCCTTTCCTATTTTAAGTTAAATCTGTTTGACTTTTTTTTCCGCCACTTGGAGGCCACGGCAAAAAGTTTCACCTTTTAATTTCTATCACAAACTTGTTAGCAAACAGTTGCTCATTTACACATCCAGCAGACATAGAAGCACATTCTCATTCATTTCAAGTCTCTGGTAAATGTTGGTCCAACTTTCACTCTCCCTTTTGCTGTGTTTGTAATCGCCACCAAATCCTGAGGGAAATATTAGACTTTTAAGCTGCTAAATGCTCCACTATGTTCCCCACTTTGGTGCTAACTCCGTCTGTCTTTTGTTCTTGGCTGAACGAGTAAGATATATTGTGTTTGTTTGGACAGAAAATTAACGATGAGAACGGTACGAATGAACTAAATTACAGAGTCGCAGATCTGAAAAGCAAACATTGAGCTCAGTTTAAGAACTGGAAAGCCGAAGGGAGCTTTATGATTCAGGTGTGTTTACACATTAAGCATTTCATTAAATATTTATAAAAACAAAATAAGACAATGATCAAAAGGAATATAACATGCTTTTATTTTCTTTCAAAAGCCAGTCAAAAAAAAAGCATTTCAAACTTCTCTGTTATCCTTCCAACTGTTTTTATGTTACTTCTGTTTGTTACAAAGCACAGAGGTTCATCCTACTGTTAGAAATCTAATGCATAAACTGTTATAAAACTGAAATCACTAGAATCCAAGCATACTTATTTTGAGTTCACCCCTAAATCCAGTTTGTTTGACTAGTGTGAGCGCTCCGATCTCTACAACGTGAACAGCCTGTGAAGGAGTTTGCCTCCATTTCTTCTGTAATTAAAGATTTATTCTTGGGCATTTTGGGCCTTTAATGGAGAGATAGGACAGTGGATAGTGGCGGAAATCAGGGAGAGAGAGAGTGGGGATTGACATGCGGGAAAGGAGCCACAGGTCGGATTTGAACCTGGGCCACTTGCTTCGAGGATTATAGCTTCCATAGTGCGCACACTAACCACTGCGCCACCAGCAGTAATTAAAACAAATAAATTACCCATAGTGGTTTTCTAACACTTGTATTTTGCTACCATGCTTTTGCTTGATTTTTACTAGAATTGCATCAAAGTTTTAAAATATGTTGTCATGACAACCAAAGTGCTGCGTGTGAAATGCTACTAAGTACCAACGCCAAATAAAGATAGAGAAAGCATTAAAAGAAAGTGATGTGTTTGACATTCTTTTAGCAGACCTTTTTCTGAGGTTAGTTTCTGTAAAAGAAATTCTTAACCATGTGAGAATTTGAACGTTCAATTTGGAAACATCAGGAAGCCAAATGTGTTTTTCCATTCCATGACTCTAAACACAACATTTGTGTTAAGCCAATACAATACAAATGTCACTTTCTATATAGTGTATATCTGTTTTGCTTCATGCAGAAAGTGATACCAGACAGAGGATCTTACCTCCATAGAGAACTCTCTGTTACTCTGCCGGAGTTGAAGTCGTAGAATTTTGTCAACATGAGGATCACCTAAAAACAGATCAAACACATAACCAGCCTTAAAGGAGTGCATCATCAGTTTTTATAAAGTGTCACATAAAGGTCACATACCGAAACAAACTCACTGACAGCTCCACCTTTAATAGAAACCAAACAAACCTGTCATCACTGGCCCTGTATTTTAAAAACACTGTAAACCTTGTACATACTCTCTGAGGATAAACTGATCACATATGCATGCTAGAACACTTTTTAACACCCCGTGGACCACTGGCAAACTCTACCACTGGTAAGCTATGACTATATGAATAAATAAGTCGACACTAAAATCCTTTTCAGGCTTATAGAGACAGACGTCGTAAATATCAGGGACATCTTTTCTTTGAAGAGGATCGTAAACAAGTGTTGTAGTCGTGTGTGGTTTACAATACACGGGGCTTTACTTCATCCATGTAAAAAAGCAGTAGATTTCAAGATGTCTCGTAAATTATAGTAGATATCAATAAATGACTCACTGTTGACTTTTGTATATATAGGGAAAGTGTTTTTCTCAGCGAATGCCAGAAGCTAAATAAATGCCTGCATGTTTGTGAAGCCTGTTGGTGATGCATGCAGTCATGGATGTGTACATACATTTAAGTTGTTTGATGACATTTTGCAACATTTTTGGTATAAACTATCCTCTTAATGAATGTGTTTTTCTCAAACGATCGATGCCATATTGCTAACCTTATCGTTCCTTTACACAAACAGCATTGTTCATTTGTGCCCTTCACCCTTTTACACCAAATGCCTGCATGGTGCAATCGTAAAATCTGCAGATCAAATTGCTCTCCTGGGAAGCCTTTCTTGGCATCCTGTTCAGCTATCTTCTAATTATCAAGTGTTATGAGTGTTTGGGGAAACATGTCCTCTAACAAGTAGGAGCTCCATCATGTAAACAAGAAATGTGAACTTTAAAAAACCTTGCTTCCTCAGTTCATAGAAAATCCTGAATAGCTTCCACGAAAAATTAAACAAGTAAGACCTTGTCATCTTGGCTGGATAAAAGGGGACCGCCCTCTTTTGACTGTAATTGCTTGAGTGAAACAAAACAGCAGCAGACACAAGCTGTGCACACACCAAGGCTCTCCAACGTCACTTATGTACAGTCGACACTCGCGCTTAGCTGTGAAAACAATTTTGAACACAAAAGAATCCAAGGACTTTCTGAGTCAATCAGTCAATCAGTGTGTGAGGACATACTTAAGAAAACACATATATCTGTTAAGTCTACATAAGAATGCAGGTCTTTAAATGAAAATAGGAAACTTACTGTCTCATTCTCAAAATTGAGAAAGGTAAGTTATGCTTGATTAAACAGAATCAACAAAGAAAGTAAAATCCATTTAAATCCTGTCATTTTTCCCAATACATACTAGTGAACCTATAATCCTATCCGTTTGAACATTTTATCCAATTCAGGTTATACACTAGGGCTGCAACTAATGTGGGTTTTGCAATTAATAAATCAGTCTATAAAAAACGAAATCCTATTTCTCAAGGCTTAAGGTGAAGTCTTTAAAGGTGGCATATTATGCAACGTTTTTTAAACACTAATATATATGTTTCACTAGCCTGTTGTGAGAAAATTCCATCCTCTCTGTTTATTTCCTGCTTCATTTTTCAGAAAATGTGTGCTCAAACAGGCCGTTTGGAGATTTGCCCTCTGTGACATCACAAAGGGAAGTATCCCCTCCCACCAGGTGGGTGACACTCCCACAGCTCGGTGTTTGTTCCGCCCTCTGAGTCTGCCTTCTCAACGTTAACATTAGGGCACGGTTCAAGAAAGCCTAAGCCACCCAAGCCCTTCTAGAGGGGCGTGGTCAGACACTGCTCAAAATGCAATTAAAGCTATAGAAGCAGAAACAGCAGGCAGGCCTGAGGGGGTTTATAGGCATGATCAAATACAGTATCAGAGTGGATTTGTGGTAAAAAAAAAAACTTCACAGACATTTTTTGGGGGGAGCTCTGAGACTTATTTAAACTTATTGAAAAGGAGAATAATATGTGACCTTTAATTTATTTTTATTTTTTTTCTTCAGAATATAAAGGCCAAAACCAAAATAAATTTTAATCAGGTGATATAAAACACAGGAAAAACAGCAACAGGGAATTAATAAAAGTTGCTTCTATTTTTTCCTTGATAAATGACTGAAGTCATAACTTTTAGAACAGCTGCTGGTTCTTTAACCATCAGTCTAATTGATAAACTCTTGTAAGAACTGATCATTATTTTCTGTCCTTTTAAAGGCTTTAAATATGCTGAACATATATCATGAGGCTCGTTTGTTTTAACATGTGTCTGCCTGCACCATATTCATGTAAATGTATTTATACACTGTGAATATTAAATCATGTCCCACTTAATGAAACCTCGTTTTTCTACAGAACCTCTTGTTGTTAATAATGCAATGAATTTAAACTCATCAGTTTTGTTTGATAGCCTAATTATTTGCGCTCTTTGTGAATGAGCTGACCAAGAAAACTCTGACTCGGCTCTAACGTTGTGCTGAATGTATGAAATCCTTTATACGAGTGCTAGTTCAGAGATTATCCATGTAGCTTGTTAAAACTATGGTGTCCAAACTGTTCTGCAGAGATTTATGGATCACTATAAAATGCCCTTTATACCTTTGAAGAAAGTCTCACCCTGGTGGATGCTGACAATAAAACAAGCTACAGCAGTTGAGAATTAGGAGAAAAAACATCCCTCTGCACTCTAAATACAGCAATTAACTGTAAGCATTTATTTGGGATTCCAGGCTTTTAGTCAGATATCATTTTGCTTTTTGCAGGCTAGAAAAATCTCCCATATTCTGGGAGATGTTTAAAAGTTAAAGGTGAAGCCCTGGAGCTTCAGTTACCGCATCAACACAATGATACAATATTCACTTTGTACTTTTTGTGTGTGTCTTACACAAGTGCTTGAAGTGCAGCATGTCACGTCAGCCTTCAACCTGCTAACAGAAATCTCTGGACAAAGCCTCCTCTTTTTATAATCTCAAAGCACTCCATATAATTGTCATAACTACACCTATTATTTTAAATAACAATATTAGCATATCTTTCCCTTCAAATTTCTACAGAGGTGTCACATTTTGATGGCAGTCATCAAGTAGTGCACGGCCCATTAAACCGCAGTGGAACCAACATATCTCCAAACTGGATTACCTGACATCCAAGAGCAAGCAAATTGATTTTTCAACCTCTAATCCTTTGTAAATCTTAAACCTTGGAGGTAAATGGACTGGGATGAATTTGATCATTATGTGAGAATGAATGGCGGCTTAATGGTGACTTAAAGGGCTTAGGGTGAGGAGATTACCGTTGAGAAATGAAGGTGTTGTATGAAGAGGAAAGGTATCACGAAAGCAGAAGAGGAGGGCAGGGGAAGGGGGGCGGATTCTGTTATTGAAGGATGAACACCTGAGACAAATGAAAGGAGCGACACATTACCATTCATTCCCACTCTCGGCGACCCGTTGATCCAGCCTTATCAGCTGCTGGCATTAAGTTGCCTCATCAATAAAACTGTCATCACATTTAGCCACTGCAATTAAACAGATGGATGATCCCATGAAAGCAATTGTTGCAGGAGTTAGTGACTGGAATATTAATAATAAAAACAAACATATCAACACCTGTCACATGTCTGAGGTGTTTATCTGACTTTTGCCTAGTGCATGATGGGATAGGGCTATAGCTTAACACAGCTTGACCCATAACTGGAATGAATCATGAAAATTAAACGTCAATTGAACCAAGTTTTAGAGAATTAGAGAGAAAGAAAACTTGTTGACTTTATTTTTTTCCCCGTGGTCACAGTGCTATGGTCTGTTCTGTCAAACACACACACACAAACACGCACGCACACGCACACACACACACACACACACACACACACACACACACACACACACACACACACACACACACACACACACAAATGGTTTGACATGATGCTAGACACTTGACCTCACATTTGACACTTATAAGAAAGAAACTGTCTGAATAAAAATGCAAAAGAGTTGCTATATTTGTAGCTCATTGCTCCTTTGCACTATAAGGTTAAGCATATTAATGCAGGCTGGATACAAAATTTAGCCTCTAGCAGTTTTATTTTATCTTCGGCCTACAGAGTTTTGTTAGTTTGTTCAAAAAAAACAAGACCAGTGGTGTTAACCTCACTGTCGAAGCCAGAGGATAATCCAGATTAATGGGAGCACAGTATCAGGAGGAGAGTTTTTTTTGTAGAACGGGTGAGCCAAGCGTTAGACATTTTAAAACTCCAACAGAGAAAATTAATTGGTAATAAATTACCTCTGGTTCAATATGCTGCAAAAAACAACACATTATCAGTGGTGGGGTATTTAGTTGTACTAAAACCAATCCTGCTTAAAATGCAGTATCAGGAATTGTATTCTTCGCACAAAAGTTGACTTGTTTCTTCTTTTTTCAAACGCATTCACAGCAGAATATTTAATAACCTAGCAGCCACCAGTAACTACTCTTCTAAAGCATCATATAACAGTGCTAGCTAGCACTGATGCTACAGTAGCAGAGAGAGAAACACAACCCAAATTTAAAAAAATATAACTGATGTGACATTTTGCTATCTCAAATTAAAACCTCTTTTGTTCAATTAAAAGTTGTTAAATCCTGTAAAAACACAGAATGCTCAAAATGTCAGAAGATTTCAGGAGTATACCCTCAGTTTATGCTAGCACAGCTTGTGTCTTTTTTAGATTGGAACCCTTTTTTATGTGAGGTTTGTGTGAGTGTACTTAGCAGGCCATACAACAAAGACATAAATAATATCACATCCATACAAAGCTATAACCTTCTACTGCTACAGAATTATCACAGCATTTCTCCGCATAACAGCAGCGCTAACACGCCCCAAAAGTAGTCCTGCTCCGCACAGTTTGCTCTTATTTTGTGTCTTAATGTGGAGAAAAGCACAGAGCTGCACTCTGAGGTGATGGAGC